TATTTAGGTCAGAGGGACCTAAGATCCAACATTCATTTCTAGGTTCTCAAACAATATGGATGCTAGTGGTCTCTAAAGACCTACCATTAATGGAGGCTGAGGAGCAGACTTAGAGAAGGGAGTGGGGGCTGGCTTGGGGGAAGAGATTGTTCAACTCAGGGAATATTTAATTCAGGTTTTAGCATTGTTAGAATAGTAACACTTTACATATTAATTAAAGTAGGGCTAACATAACTATAAAAAGCAAAAGCATCTATAGACACAGACACACAACAACACATACTCAGAGAATAGAAAACAAATCTTTGATTTACCACTCATTTTGCAAGACTTAAAGCCAAAAGAGCATATTTTCAGATTGTTAAATAAAGTATTATTCTACGTATGGGTTGTTTATTTGACACAGAGAGTTGTGCCGGCCCAGCACACCGTTCTCCACTTGGGCAAGGTTATTGATTCTATGCCAGATTCAGAAAGCTTTAGTTCACACCCCTGACCTCCAGCTCACCCTACCTCCTGGCTGTAACTCTGTAATGATGTCATGGGCCACAGGCTCCTCCTCTCCTCAATCTAGATGCTATACTACATCCCCCACCCCCACCTTTGGTTAATAAGCAATTACCCTTGGAAAAGGGTTACATTTTAGAGCTGCTTCTCATGTTTATAATCTCATACTTGGTGTAAGTAAGGATCTGAGCAGGACTGAAGAAGAAATGGAACTCCAAGTGAAGGGAAAGGATGCAAACTATAATATAATGGAAGTGGCATGGAGTTGGGAATCAGAAGTCCTGGATTCAAGTCCTATCATTTGCTTCTGTAAAAACATTAAAAACTAACTATGAAGTCCTACCATCCTGATAAACACACATACACATGCAAACGCTCATTTTTGCTTTTTGTTTCTACGGGTGATGGATGATGTCACCCTTTTGTTCAGTCATTCATCAACCATTTATTGAGCACCTGCTCTGTGCCAAGCACTGTACTAGGTACTAAAGAAATAATGATGAGGAAAAAAATGTAAGAACTTTATAGAGACAGAATACTGAGCAGGGAGAGAATGGGCAGGATTTAACAGTGGGTTAGAAGAGGACACATGATGACGACCCAAGTTTTAAGGAACTATTCTAGGTTAGGCTTGAGCAACTGGAATTTGATGGTGTCGTTCCCTGAAATGGTAACTAGGAGGAAGTGCATTGTGTGTAGGTTCTCTGATTTCAAGCAACAAATTAAGCAATAAAGGATATTAGGCAGCTCTTAGAACTGAAAAGACAACTAGGCTGCAGGTGTTTGTAGCAGGAATGTGTGGATTGCACCTTAGGCAGCTGTCATTGAGAGAGACAGCTTCAGCCACCTTCTGCCATCATGTCCTTTCCAGATCCAGATTCCCTGGAGAAAGAATCTGACTGGCCCAGTTTGGAAGGAGGCATGTTAGTGTCTACAATGACAGGAAGACCAGTGGTGGGGGTGGTAGTAAGAGGGTGGAAGTACAAGGAAACTTTTTTTAAGATTTTATTGGGGAATTGGGGGAGGGGAACAGTGTTGGGGAATTGGGCAAGGGGAACAGCCAAGTTGTTGTCCTTCGNAAAGCAAAAGAGATGGTCTTCTGAAAGATGAGAATATGAATGAGAAAAGAATTGTGTTAAAATAGAGACACAGACCCCCTGGAGAGCAACCAATTCTGTGAAGGATCTGGAAATCAAGTCATAGTCTATTCAAATTACATGGAAAGGCTATCAGAGAGATTTGACTTGTTTCTGTGAAAAGTAGGCCCTATGTGTAAAGATTTCTTTAAGTACATTTTAGATCAATACAAGAGGAAATTTCAGCAATTAGCTCTGTTAAAATAATGGTATGTAAAAAAATTTTTTAAATATAGGGGAAAAGGGACACAAGAGGCTTCCAAAAACCAAAATGGAGCGGGCCGCCTTGAGAAATAGTTTTCTTCCCTTGATGTTAAAAGCTAAGGATATATGATCACCTGTCAGGTGCATTGTAGAGAGAATTAGGGTGAGACATCTGACTAGATGACACCAAGAATCATTCATTCATTCCATAATTACTTACTGAGCCCCTACTATGTACCTGGCACTTTTCTAGGAGGCAGGGTATTACAGTGAACAAAATACAAAACTCTCTGCCTCCCTGCATCTTACACTAGTGGGGAAAGAAGGGAAGATAGACAAAAAACAGAATAACTAAGTAAAATTACAATTAGTGGTGATAAGAGATATGAAGAGAAATTAAGCAGGGGAAGGCAACATGGATTGGGGGATGAATTTCAATTTCAAACAGAGTGGCAACGAAAGAGGCCAGGGCGTGAGTCACGTGGATATCTGGGAGTATGAGATTTCTGGTACCCCTCAGATCACACCACCCTACTACTGCCTATGCCTAACTGAAGGTTGACCATGCTCCCTTGGGAGCTTCCTGATATCTGAGAGGAGTTACCAAGGACAGGGGGCACCAGGGTGGCATCCAGGGTGTGAAGGTGAGGGACTGTCTCCTACATTGTCCACTTTGATCCACAGGTTTTTTCAGAGTCTGGCAATGAAAGGAAGATGGAAGAGGAGGAAGAGAACAATAAGCTTATCTCGGCTGACTCCCCTGAGGTACTACAATCTAAGTCACCAACATTATTATGCCCTGAGTCGTGATTCCCATGAAGTACTGAAGGTCCTAACAGAGCAAGATATAAAACTTCCCCTTGGCTGCTTTCTGGTCTGCGGTAGCCATGCTGATTAAGAGAGAGATGCAGGGCATGTGGATAGTGAATAAGCCAGGGTCAGTGTGGGACTTAAAGTAGGCAAAGTGTACTTGCTTTTCTGCACTGAAAAGAGGAACTCAACAGTATGGAAAATCCAAAATTAATTTAAATTTGACTTTGTAATATATGATTTTAGTATGGAGACAGCAATAGAGTAAACTTCTGTTTGGCTCTGGTGAATAATAAAACAGATTTGCATTCTTGGAGTAAATTATTGAAGGGGAGTTTATGGGGTTCAAGATGCTATCTGACCATTTGAGGAACAGGCTAGTAACACTGTCCTCCTTGGGCAAGAGGTACCAGACACAACCTCTTTTCTCCTGAGGCCACCTCCTTATATTTGAGACTTACAGTGTTTTCTTACTCCCAGCCTCTCCCCCTGGGATTGCTTTGGTCATTGGCTAAGGAGACAGATGTTTCCTATGGAATTAAACAATTAGAGCATCTTAGAGTCTAACCTATCACTGTCATCAGTCCTCTAAAGCCTGTGTCCTACAAGACATGTTTACTTCCCTTGCAAATGCATCATAAATAATCTTTTCTCTCAAGCAGAATTATGGACACATCACATATAAAAGTGGGTAAATAAAAAGATTACTGTGAGAAAATCTGTTCTTGCTCAGCATTTGAATTGCCTGAGAGAGAATGATAACTTTCTGGGAGGCGGTATTACCTTTGAGATAATTCATGACCTGGAATTGGAGGAAGGAATAAGAAGGAAAATTTGCTCAAAGGAAAAATCACAGAATTTCAAATGGCCATCACACTAATAGAAATTGGTTCTACTTTCAAAGGTTAAATTTCATAGTGTGTGAGCTAATTTCAGTTACAAAAATAAATTCATTCTAAACTGTAGAGTGCCAAGGTCTTCCCCTGGCTTAGCAGCTCCTAGACAGGGCATTCCACACCTTGGGTTCCCATCGCAGAACCTAGAACTTTTCCCAGAGAAATCATTATACCACTTGCCTCTTTTAATTGCTATAGGTTAGGATCATCTAAATGTGAGAGCTGCAGTGCATTCTTAAGGAGGGTTAGTCTAAAAGTGGTAGGTAGTGGTTTTAAGACCTACTCATATATTTATACCCCCACAGACTCCCACATAGATATACATGCAGATGCATGTCACAAATCACAGGGTATCTGGTCATGGAAATAACTCGGGGGTCCAAAGATCTGGTTCCCTGTCCCAGCAAGTCATTTCACCTTTGAATCTTGGTTTCTTGATCTGTGAAAGAGGATGACAGTAGAGCCTTCCCTGATGTCTCCAGGCTGTAGTGAAAAACATTGTATGTAGGCCCTTTGTATTATTGTCTGTGACCCTTATAGAGTGTAAGGCATACAAGACCCTTCTAAGCTGAGAGGCTGAGAAGGTTGAGCCACCTCTCACTGGCAGAACTCTTCCTTTTGTAGACTCAAGACCCACAGCTTCATGTCTCTGCGGATCCAGAAGAGAATAACATCACAGCATCTGAGCCTCAAGAACAGGTAAGGAGGCCAGATACACAGAGAACAGGATGGGTGGCAGGATTGGGCGTTGGGGGTGGACAGAAGTTTGGCTACAGGCTGGAATCTTCACTGCGGGCTATAAGGAGAACCCAGCAATGAACAATATCCTTAGGGCAAAATCAAGCAGGTGGGGAGCCAGAGGAACCAAGAGTAAACTGGGACTTTATGGGTTTTTTGGTGCCCATTTCCCAACACTAGGCCTTGAACCTCTTG